AGTGTCGAACAGTTCTGTAAAGGTTATATATTGAGCTAATAAAGGAAAAAATGAACTAAATGTAAATGAGATAATCCAAGTTTGCAATTTGTTATTAATAACGTGGTACTAACAAAAGCAAGTGCAGTAACAGGTTTTAAATGTCTAATCTACAAAATAACGAATATTACACCAATAAATTAATTCATACTAAGTCACACGAAAAACTGAGTAATAAGCACAAACTCAGAGGAAAGATTAGCAGTAGTTCATAATAATTCAATTTTTGATACGTGCGCTTGGGAAGACATTTTCATAAAAGAGATAAGCTTGAATTTATAAATTTATTTAACGTAAACTTACAGTCTCAATGTGCCTAGATCCAGGGCTTTTTTAGCTATATCATCTCGGAGAGTGCACCATTCTTGTTCTTTGTGCCGTCTTGAAGATTGTGAATTATTATATTTAACTTGAAATAATGCTAAATTATTTGTAAAAGTGAACGTTTCATCCTGTCTTTTCTTAAAAATAAAGCGTTTTAATTAATAAAATATACTGATTTGAAGTGATGAAGATTAATTTTGATGTGTTCTAAATTTTCCTCTGTTAGTTTATTTCTCTCGCTGAGATTAATATATGCCGCATGAAGCGTTTCATAACGATCTATTAATTCACGTATTTCGGAAAAATATTCTGAAATTTCAACCGCTGATTCAAGGAATTTGTGGTATATAGAATATTTCTTTTGTTTGGTCTCAAGTTTTGACTTAATAAAATTTGTGGAAGCTATGTCATCCAAAAGCCTTTTATGCTTTAGATTAATAAGTACTAACTTTGAGATTTCTCCCTGTTTTTTAATTTGTAGATCTTTTTCTACCAACATTTTTTTGAAAGCTCGAGATCTTTTTGTATCGTTATCCTTGAGAAATCTATCAAATTTTAAAAGTGATTGTTTTAATTGAAATTCTTTTTGCTCAAGCTCATCCCATCTCTGTTGTAAACCATCTACTTTCATTTTAAGTTCCTATTATCAGTATTTTATAGCAATATACCTCTTTTTGTGCCATCAAGGCATTGTCAACTTCTTGCTTCTCCTTTCGATGCTCCAAGAGTTTTGTAACGCTTGTTAAGTAGCCCTCATCTCGGTCGGGGTATTTTCTACAATAAAAATACAAACTTATACATAATAAGTTTTTCGTCGAAAGCTTTTCTGAAATAATCTTCCATGTGCATAGTTCGTGTAGCGCACAAAACTCTTAACTATGACTCCCAATATATTATATAAATTCAAACAATTTTAACTATAAAATGTATAAAAGATAATTATTTTAACAAATATACAATTTAAAATTTTATATTTTTTTATTTTTATAAATAATTTTGTTGGGCTTATGTTATTATGTGCTACTACTATTTTTGCTATGCACGAATTTGACAGGAGAGTCGATGTTAGTGTAACTAGCCCTATTACTTTGGATTTTGGATTATTTTATTTGTGGATTGGAGGATATTCTGGTTAGCCTGCATGAAAT